GATTATTCTGAATTGTGTGAACAATATAGTAAATCCAAACTTAAAATAGATATCATAATTTCTTATTTACAAATTTTCCTTTTAGTTGCTATAATATATACAATATTAGTATTTCATATTAAATTTGTCAATATCGATTTCAAGTTCATATCATATATCTTGTCACATTCAAACATTCTGGTGCGAGAAATATTTTATAACATAGTTCTTTTCATCAATTCATTTAGACAAAGTGGCATCCAGTAAGAAAAAGCAAATTGTTAAATGAAAAACTACCAAACCAAAAGCTATCACAAAAAGAAAAACAACTGCAATTAAAAAAAGAACATCACCTCTAGTCTCAAAAACAGTTAGAAAGTGTAACTCATGTGGTTGTAAGAACAAAACATACCGAAAACAAAAAAAGTAAAAGTTTCAAAAAAAAACCCTTCAAAAAAGAAAATATCACCAAACAATGCTTGCAGAATTGGATGGTGTAATGATGAAGAGAAATTGAATATATGTCAAGCAAAAAGACCTATAGGAACACAAATTACAAGAATTGAATTCGGTTCTAAAAAAGAAAACAACCACACATTTTACTTTGATACATTATATCAAAGAATATTACCTTTTAGACTTTTTCAAACTAAAAAATTTGAACCTTTTACAAGATTTACTTTACATGATATTTTGATACATTTACAAATTATAACATATCATAATAGAGATAAAACAAGAACTATTAGGATTCCTACTCCAGCAGGAACCACTATAATTACTCCTTTAATCTCACAAATGATAATCAGAAGTTATATTTTAGAAATCTGTGATCGAGAACTGCTTAAGAAAAAAAATATTAATTTCTTTCTTGATGATCTATTAATGGATAAAGACTTTCAAAACATAGAATTTAATACTAAAAAAGTTAAACCATTGCTTGAAGACATTCAAGAAATTGATTGTAGTCTATGTAATTTCTCTGAGAATGAAATAATCATGTGTTTAGATCTTAGCAAAATGCAAGTCTGTCTTTCAACTGGTAAAACTGATACAGAATCAGCTGTTTTTGATAAAGGAAATTACTTATTTGTGATGTTTTTAGATTACTGTAATTTTATGTATAATTTCAAAAAAAATACACTTAATGTTGAGTCAAATACATATTTTCTAGGAAAAAACTATGATTTTAATAATGGCAACTCAGGTATTCCTTCATTCACAGGAAAAGGCTATATTGAATCAGCATGGACTCCTCGCTTACAAGGTCAAGATTATCAAAGAATAATGGCAAAAATGGCAAATTGTTGTGATGAAAAAGAAGCATAGATTTATTTTTTATTTTTTTATTTTGTATTTAAAATAAACTATTTTATTTCTGAAAATATATAAATAAACATCATTCATAAACTTTTTCTTAATAAAAATGAATTATAGTAAAGTACATCCAGCAGATGCTTGTGTTGTCGCATATTGTAATGACCCACAAAAAACTAATTCTTGTATAGGGAAAAGAGATCCTGATGCAACAGTTGATGTTGATATAACTCCAAAACCAACAAATGGGAGATTTTTCTATGTAGATTTAGATTCGAGATTTCAACTTATAAGATTATTTCAACAACTAGATCCTAACCAGAAACACATTGAATTACATGACATTGTTATACATATGAACATCACATCTTATCATAATGAAGATAGAGACACCACCTTTCGATTAGAAACAAGTACCACAGAAAATGTCATAATCACCCCTTTAATTAGTAATATGAAAATAAAGTTTTATATAATCGAAATTTGTGATCAAATTGTAGCTGAACAAAATCAACCTGGAATGGGAGATATTATTGTAGATGGTGATGTACAAAATGTTCAATTCAGAGAATATATTACTCCTCATTTAGAGTATATTGAAGAAATTTCATGTAAAGGTTGTGAATTACAAACACATCAAATTGAGTTTTGTATGGAA